CGTCCGTCCGTCCGTCCGTCCGTCCGTCTTTTCATTCATTCATTCATACGTTCAATTATACGTTCAGTCATTTCCTTTAATTCCCGATCGCAGTGGTCTGCTGGTCAACAAAAACGGAGAACTTAAAAAACTTGGCGAAGTAATAAAGCAACCCAAACTGGCCAAGACCTTAGAATCYATAAGAGATGACCCTGAAGGCTTTTACTCGGGCAAACTAGCAGAAGATATYGTGCATGACGTGCAGTCAGGAGGGGGAATCATAACACTACAGGACATGAASAACTATCGAGTAAAGATCAGAAAGACATTGCATGGAACCTTGGGGGATTATCAGTTGCACTCTATACCTCCCCCTGGAAGTGGTGCTGTCATGTCCTTGGTGTTTAACGTACTCAAAGGTACACTATAAATGAGCAGAGCAGAGCAAAGCAGAGCAGAGCAGGGCAGGGCAGGGCAAGGCAGGGCAGGGCAGATCAAAATGTTGTTCACTGTATAAACTAACGCGATCAATATCATTTTACCATATTAGGATATAATATGACGTCATCTGCCAGAAAGGACGTCAACAGTTCCATCCTAACTTAYCACAGAATTGTAGAAGCCTTTAAGTTTGCTTATGCTTATCGGGCTTTACTCGGAGACCAAGACTTCGTGAACTTGACAGATGTAAGTACCAAATAAAGGCACTGCAAGTGCTCTGCTTTTGGCTAAAAATAGGCTACTTGCATTATAGCTTTATTTACTACCACTACCACAATCCCTTGCACACTTTTTTTTTGTTCAGTTAATTGGTACCAATTGTCTTACTATTCTCATGAGGAAATACAAATTTGAATAAGAAAAAAACTCGCCAAGCCATCATGCAAACTGCCTATTAAAGTACATGTTGCTCTCACAAAGAACACTTCTCAAAAATACTCCAGGATCGAATGTGAGGGTAACATGAAAATACAAAAGAAATCACACTTTTTCTTTATGAAATTTGCGGCATTTCTTTTGTATTTCCATGTTAGTCTCGCATTCAAGTCCACTTATGAAAATGAAAATAGGTGAACAATCGTCATCTGAACTACTGAATGTTGTTTTAAAAATGCAGAGTTCTTTCACCATTTGCAATAACCTGTTAAAAGCTGACTCTAAACGTTAACTAGATCATAGCTGTTCATTATTTTAAATCTCAAAAGTAAATATGAAAAATTATTTGTCAAAACGTGGTGGGAGTGTTTACACCCCCTTTGGGCCCCGCTGCCTCGCTGGACGTCCCTGTTCATCTATATTCAAACWTTTYTTTTTTTAAAGACATTGAGAAACAYGAGTGACCCAAGCTTTGGAGAAGCTTTACGCCACAAGATTTACGACAATCAAACATTCACGGACTACAGATACTACGGGGACTTTTATTCCAAAGGTGACGGTGGCACATCACACTTGTCGTTGATATCACCTGAAGGGGACGCTGTTTCTGCCACAACAACGATTAATCTWTAGTAAGTATAAGGAATAATTGGTCTTTGGTATTTTTACACAAGTGAATTAAATAATAAATCCGGCGCACTCATTGGTTACGACCTTCCGTCTTATGCTGTTATATTCACCTATAGGTGAATATATAGGTGAATATAACGCGCACGCGCACGCTCGTTTGTAGATGTGTGACGCTTGCAGAGATAAATAAAATTTGAAGAAGAAAAATAACAATCTCACTCTCCGTTATTTATTGAATTCACTTGTGTTAAAAATACTTTTAAGTATTTAAAAACATCTATAATTCATCTCAGGCTCGAAGACTCGCGTCTCTGTAAATATTCCCCGATAAACAATTGTCAAATSTTTCACCCTCAAGAGTAGATGTAATATCTTTAGTCATGTTAGGGAATCTAAGGTGGAATTAAAATCTTGTCCCACAAACAACTACACAGTATCTGTTTTAAAGAGTACTACGAGGATTACGAGGCAATTYTGTTTCAAAAGACAGTAAAAGATTGAAATAATTTATAACCAATTTTCTGCGATCATAGTTTTRTATTCTGAGATACTCTRGCTAATTTGTTGAGCTGACTGGACATAGCAACGGTAACTAAGGGTAGTTGGACCCATGAACCAGCCCAAAGCCACAAAACCACGCATAAGATATGTTTTSTGTTTCAGCTTCGGCTGTAGATACCGTGGAATTCGAACTGGAATCATTTTTAATAACGAAATGGATGACTTCTCTACTCCTGGAGTAAAGAATGCGTTCGGTGTTGAACCATCTCCAGCGAATTTTATCGTCCCAGGCAAACGACCAATGTCATCGTCTGCGCCTGCGATTATTGTTGACAACAATGGCGACGTGCGAGTGGTTGCAGGAGCTGCCGGCGGAACTAAAATCACCACTGCTACCTCACTGGTAAGATTTTATCATCGACACTAGAGAAAAACGTTTGCGCATGCGTGCACTTCAGCACGTTTTCTAAGAATTTTGAAGAGTCTGAGTGAGAAAATAAATGTTTGTTTTCTCCAAGTATACAAAAAAGTTCGAGAGTATACTTTTGTCAGACCAAGATACTGTATTAACAAACACAATATGAGTTAAGTTTYAGCCATGGACACTAAGTTTTGGCATTTTGTGAAGTCCAATTTATCAGGCATGTTTGAAAGTCAAATTTACTYATACGGATTCAGAGCATGCGCAGACGTTTTTAATTTACTCTTGTCTTTATCATCTATATAAGTTAAACCGGTAGTGCAATTACCGGAAATTTGACGTATTATTAACGACTGGTTTCAAATCTTAACACACGAAACCCAGAATACTTTATTGTTTTATTTGGTTTATRTACAGCTGGGCTCCCTGTGGTATAAATAGACATTGATGCTTCTCAAGAACAAGTGCGGGTTTATACAATTTTCTGTCAATCATAGTGTTTCCATGGCAATGTCGTCTGATAACACAAAACTTTCAAGATAAAACGTTAGCTTGTTTGACGTCCGCCAAAATTGACTTCGTGGGGAAGACGATTCCGCACGTGTCTTATTGACAAACACTGTAAATATGTATTTGTCGTTGTTTGAATGATATTTGTACCCATTTATTTATATTTATTCAACGGAAAGCCTTACAGGACCCAATAGATCTTATTCGTGGTGTGACAATGTTTTCCCAATTCAGCGTGACAAACCTCCAGAGGATTCATTTTCTTTTGTTTTTACTCTTCGAAAAATTCATGAGTATCCCAAAGGATACAAAAGGAATAACGATGATATCCCGACGAGTTTCAAAACAATGGCTGTTCATTCCCCTAGAGGTTTGTCACGTTCAATTGGGAAAACATTGTCACACCACGAATAGGGTCTATTCCAAGACAACCGATTATAGATCGAATTGGAAGTTGATTTTTGTAGAGGGAGGAAAACCGAAAAAACCCACAGAAAAACCCTCGAAGCACAGGAGAGAACCAACAAACAACTCTACTCACATACGACACCGAGCCTTGAGGGGATCGAAACCCGGGTCGTATTGGCGAGAGGCCAGAGGCGAGCAAACTTACCGCTACCCCACYTGTGCTTACCAACCCATGGTTGATCCTTAAAAAATACCACTCCTTAACACTATATATGTCGCATTCCCAACACAGGCTATAATGAATTTTCTATGGTTTAACCGTACCCTGACCCAATCAGTGGAAGATCCAAGACTTCACCATCAGTTAATGCCMATGTACATCCGAATAGACAAGCAATACCCTATGCCCCAGGCCATCATCGATGGACTAAAGAGGCTTGGTCACACGGTCAGGAAAATAAGTGGTTTCGCTGTTGTTCAGGCTGTTGCTAAGGACAAGAGTGG